ACGCACAATAAAGTTATCGATCACTTGTTCGATTGCCGATTAATCAATTGAAATTGAACAACGATGCCCGATGCAAAACGTTTTCGACAATCCTACCGACTGCGCCACTTAACTTATTGGATTCAAACAACCCGTTTTTAAAAAAGATTTATTTATAAATTTAATTTAACAAGTGGAGAAATATATGTTTACAGCTCGACAACAAAGCTCTAACTGAATACAAATACAATGAGAATTAACGAAGTTAACAATAATGCTTGTCTCAGCGAAAACAGAATTAAAGTCTTTTTCATATGATCTTCATGGTAAAGGGTTGTGTAACACGTGTGATGATACCGCATAGCGACGAGCCGTCGGCGTCGTGCAGTATCAGTGTTGCCAGATGTAACATAATTATCGAATTGTAACATAATTTTGGAACAACATTTTCCCAAAAAAAATCTGTACCATAATCGATAATTGTAACATAATTTGGTAACCTGCCATAATTAATGTTTTATCAATCATGAACTATATTTTTATGATAAATAAATTAACTTTAAGGTAGTTAATGCAAAATGACTCAAATGGTTTTAAGGTTTAAAAGAATGGCAGGGTCTAGAGCACTAAATATTCGCGACGTATCAAGTAATTCCGATTTAAAAATACGGGCAGAAGAGAAACCAGACCCCGATATCATAAAACTGACTGAGAAAATACGTATGAAACCTATTAAAAATAAGTTAAACCAACAAAAAATAGGATCCAAATTTATTGCTATCATTATATTTTTTAGATAATTCCCTCAGAACGAAATATATGGCTTGTAACATAATTTTGTGATAAATTCGATAATTTCATCTACATTGATCCATAATTTCATTTCCGACACCTGGCAACGCTGTGCAGTATTATTTCATTTTTATAAATCAGTAGCCCTTTATTCTTGCTGGAAGCAGCATTATTTCATAGCGCCAATTCGCATTTTTATTTTAACAAATTTTCAAGTTCTGTTCCAAAATTTATTGGAATTACTCCTCCCAAATTAACATTTTTAATCAATTTTAATATTTGTTATCGTGAAGAGCTATTTATAATTTAATAAATAAAGTAGTGATTTCAATTTGTGGGTTTATTCTCGAAAGAGTGGTCCTTCGACGTTGGTTTTTCTTTGGGAATCGAAGCAGTCCATTGTTAGTCCATCGGATAAATTATTACCACGAGCTAACAAATATTTTTATTCTTTATTACATTGCGCAAAATTGTTTACTTTTTCTGGCTAATTATTAGTACTACAAAAAAATTGAATTTACTACAATCAATTGCATCGTTTGTAGTTTCCATACAACTAAAGACATTATGTCAAATTATGTTAATTTCCAAATTTTACTATAATTCTCTAATTTCAAGAAACTTTCGTTGATTTTTTTTGCTACTACATAAAACTACAAACGATTTTGAAGATTTTTAGACATTTGTTAAAACAATTTTTTTATTCTTTATTACATTGCGCACAATTGTTTACTTTTTCTGGCTAATTATTAGTACTACAAAAAAATTGAATTTACTACAATCAATTGCATCGTTTGTAGTTTGTATAAAATTAAAAACATTATGTCAAACTATGTTAATTTCCAAATTTTACTATAATTCTCTAATTTCAAGAAACTTTCGTTGAGTTTTTTTGCTACTACATAAAACTACAAACGATTTTGAAGATTTTTGGACATTTGTTAAAACAATATTTTTATTCTTTATTACATTGCGCACAATTGTTTACTTTTTCTGCCTAAATATTAGTACTACAAAAAAATTGAATTTACTACAATCAATTGCATCGTTTGTAGTTTGTATACAACTAAAAACATTATGTCAAACTATGTTAATTTCCAAATTTTACTATAATTGTCTAATTTCAAGATACTTTCGTTGGGTTTTTTTGCTACTACATAAAACTACAAAAGATTTTGAAGATTTTTAGACATTTGTTAAAACAATATTTTTATTCTTTATTACATTGCGCACAATTGTTTACTTTTTCTGGCTAATTATTAGTACTACAAAAAAATTGAATTTACTACAATCAATTGCATCGTTTGTAGTTTGTATACAATTAAAAACATTATGTCAAACTATGTTAATTTCCAAATTTTAATATAATTCTCTAATTTCAAAATACTTTCGTTGAGTTTTTTTGCTACTACATAAAACTACAAACGATTTTGAAGATTTTTAGACATTTGTTAAAACAATATTTTTATTCTTTATTACATTGCGCACAATTGTTTACTTTTTCTGGCTAATTATTAGTACCTACTACAAAAAAATTGAATTTACTACAATCAATTGCATCGTTTGTAGTTTGTATACAACTAAAAACATTATGTCAAACTATGTTAATTTCCAAATTTTACTATAATTCTCTAATTTCAAGAAACTTTTGTTGAGTTTTTTTGCTACTACATAAAACTACAAACGATTTTGGAGCCTTTTAGACATTTGTTAAAACAATATTTTTATTCTTTATTACATTGCGCACAATTGTTTACTTTTTCTGGCTAATTATTAGTACTACAAAAAAATTGAATTTACTACAATCAATTGCATCGTTTGTAGTTTGTATACAACTAAAAACATTATGTCAAACTATTTTAATTTCCAAATTTCACTATAATTCTCTAATTTCAAGAAACTTTCGTTGAGTTTTTTTGCTACTACATAAAACTACAAACGATTTTGAAGATTTTTAGACATTTGTTAAAACAATATTTTTATTCTTTATTACATTGCGCACAATTGTTTACTTTTTCTGGCTAATTATTAGTACTATAAAAAAAATGAATTTACTACAATCAATTGCATCGTTTGTAGTTGATAATAAGCCAAAAATCGAAAAGGTTACTATAAAGCGGGTTCCAACGTGACAGAGCTAAAATTATATTGGGAATGTCATCGATCCTCATTTCCATGTTAAGGTTGATTCTCGCTATACCTTCCCTTTCCATTCCATATCCGTTCCGTATTTTTTATTGTATTGACACTATACCTATACGTAAGCTTCCTTTTCGTATCAGTTTCATACTTTTATTGTACAATTTATATCATTACGAAAGTTTTATTTTAAAAATTTGTATCTTTTGAAAGAGGTAATAGATTTAATTAAGAGGTGGTGAAAGAATAAATAAATAGTTATCATCAAAATGTTAACAGAGCTGGTACAAATGTAAGAACTTGACAACGCTGTTTCCGATACGCTTCAGTCCGTCCGCCAAAAAAATGTATGGAAGGAAAAGATATGGGAAGGAAAGGAAACGGAACGGATAGTGTGCATTGTCCTATTCATTTACATGATACAATATTTTATGTAAACGGAAGGGAAACGGAAGAGAGCAGCTCTACGGAAGGTAAAGTGAGAATCAACCTTTACTTGGACACCGTTTTTTTTTTCTACCTCTAAACAAAGCCGATTGTAGAATAAATAATATAAAATAAAGTCAGTAAAAAGAGACACATCCACCAAATTTCAAATCAAATTTAAATGTTTCAATTCTAACGTCAAACCGAACTGTCAAGGATAGGGACCTATCATGTCGATTCCGTCTCCTACGAGTTAAATATCCAGAATAGCCACAAATTAGTTTTTAATAAAGAATTTATTATAAAATTACAACTTTTAAAATGGTATCTGCCTTTCAACAATAACTAATAAAGAATAAATATTGTATAAGCTGCAGCGGGCGATACGTGCTGCGGATTATATAAGTGAAATATGAAGACTTCTAGGGAGACATTACAATAAACTCATGAATGAATACATGGATAGCATTATACTCCTTCCTTAATCTTTTTATTCAGTACAAGAAATGAATAATTATTAATCAATAGCCCTCATAGACCAGAAGATTCAGCCTGTGGACCTCGCCTGCCAGGTATCAAACCTCTCGTATTTTGGTCTGCGGACTTGCATGGCCTGTCCATTAGATCTTGGACCGATTAAATATTCCCGTTTGGGAAAAATATTCGACGTTTTCTAGCAGTTTTTATACCGAGTGCATCTCAAAAGTCACCCCTATCACTTTTTATTTTTTCAGATAAAAAAACGATATTTGGTGTATGACATAAATTAGAATTGATTGACGTATTCAATTGTTTTCAGTCACCTCCCCTTTCACCGGAAATGACTACAAGACGCACCCGGCATAGATAAACGTTTATCGGAACAAGACGGCCGCTTAGAAAAAAGAGCGTCTAAGGGCTCAAACGCACTGACGACCAGCTCGCAGCGACCATCTACAGACCACCAATCAAATGATACAACGATCACTAACGTCCACCAAACTTTTTATCCACAGGCCGCAGTTTTCTGGTGTAAGGAGGGTTATTTAGGGTCTTAATTATACTCTGACAAACCTAACCCTAAACCTCTGCTTGTGGCATTGTGGACATTCTCAAAATTGTCGTCAAGAATTAAAGTGCAGTTATTAAAAATAAAGCGAAAGAAGTCAAAAGTTAATCTTTCATTGGTAAATATTAAAAAGTTTATTATTTGTATATAAAAAAGTTTAGATACGTAAGTGTTAAGCCGGGAATACATCTATAATAATAATAATAATAATAAAGGACTTGGGGGTCAAATGGGCAGTGTATGCGTCACAAATAGCCTCTCCTGTCAATTCCTACTCGCACCTCCAAGTGGTGACTCCTGGAAACTTCTCTGTACACTATAAAAAGCTAACTTGAACTTATCAAAAGGTACTACAACATAAAGTACCAACAGAGAAGGCCAACGCGAGAGGAAGAAACCACCGGCTGACAGGCTAGCACCCTGCCAGTTGAGATATAATCGCTGTAAAAACAAAAATACAGTTCCGAGGCGTGATGGAGGACCAGGGCACCTCTGTTCGGACACGCCATATTCCTATGCCTGGCGCAGAAAGTAGTGAGACAGGTGTAACAAGACAGGTGTACAGTGAGACAGGTAACCAACTCTCAATCTGAACCTGTTCCAACCTCGAGTAATGATGAAGGGCTTGAGGCTCTTTCCATTCCCGAGGCCAGAAATACAAGTAAGAAGACGCGTTTCAGATGGTCTGAAGAGATGAATACTCACCTTTACCGCTCTTACTTGCACATCACAAAAATGGAAACAAACTCTGAACCATACGGGAAAAGGTTGCATGAGGAAATGATCCGCAGCTTTCCAGAGCTTGCCGTAAAGTCGATGCAAAATATCCCGGATCAAAGAAGGCAGCTTTTAAAAAAAATCGACTACATCCAGACACAACTAAAAAGATCCGTCAAGAAGTTGCTGAAGAACTAGGATTGAACACCACTCAGGCTTCTGAACCTATAATAGATACAAGGGATCAAGAACACGAAGATAGACAAAACGCAGAAGACCAAGTAACGGAAATTGAGCGGGAACCAACTATTGTAGAGACCGAGGAAACCAGAACATTCCAGATACTTCAAAAAAATATCCTTCTATATAGTGGTATGAATCCAAGAATGAGACCTACTATACCCAGACTAAAAACTTCAAATCAAACAAAGAACATAATAAGTACCGTAAACAACGTGTTAGCGCATATCATTAATGACTGTAATGATATTATTACTCTGCACGACTACATCTATTCGGCAGCGGTCACAATAACAGAAATGCATAACCAAACCACCACAACAGCTCACAGTACCAGATCCAAATCAAGGCAACCGGCATGGCAAACTAGACTGGAGAAAAAAATTAAGTGGATAAGAAAAGATATAGGCATTCTTACACAATATACAACGTCGACCAAGCATACCTCAAGAATAACGAGGAAGGTGAACATCATAATAGATAAATATAAAAATGACTATAACAAGACAACAGCGGAAATATTAGACTACACCAAGCAGAGACTACAAATATATGCCAACAGAATGCGCAGATATAAAGAAGCATACCAAAGAAGAATTGATAATAAACTTTTCCAAAACAATCAAAAAGCATTTTATAGAAAGATCCAAAATCCATACGATCAAACGCATAACAATAATACACCCACAGCAAAGGAAACTCGTGATTTTTGGTGTAAGATATGGGAAGAACCTGTCAGACATAAAGAAAATACAGAATGGATAAGACGTGAAACAGAGCGAATGAGCAACGTTCAAAAGATGCCTGCACAAAATATTAGCAAAGAAGATGTAAGACGATGCTTAACAGGAACACACACAGAATGGATAAGACGTGAAACAGAGCGAATGAGCAACGTTCAAAAGATGCCTGCACAAAATATTAGCAAAGAAGATGTAAGACGATGCTTAACAGGAACACACAACTGGAAAATGGCGGAACCAGACAAGCTCCAAAACTACTGGTATAAAAAACTAACATGCATTCATGAAAAGATAGCAGCAATACTTAACGACTTTCTTAAACAGCCGAACACCATACCAAAATTCCTCACAGAAGGCAACACCTATCTCTTACCTAAAACCATGACATCTTCTAGCGATCAATCAAAATATAGGCCTATAACCTGTTTGCCTACACTCTATAAGTTACTAACAGGTATTTTATGTAATAAAATATATGAACATATTGATACCAATAATCTGATGACTCAAGAACAGAAAGGATGTAGGAGGAAGGCTCAGGGATGTAAAGACCAACTAATAATCGACGCAGTAATCATGGAACATGCGAAAAAGAATAAAAGAGACCTGCATACAGCATTCATAGACTACCAAAAAGCGTTCGACAGCGTGCCCCACTCCTGGCTGATAGAGAGTCTTAGGCTGTACAAAATCGATACACAAATTGTTACACTACTGGAAAGCCTTATGAATTCATGGAAAACGAACCTGATATTGAATAACCAGACCACAGACATTTCGATTCATATTAAACGGGGAATATTCCAGGGTGATGCACTAAGTTCCCTCTGGTTCTGCATTGCATTAAATCCATTAAGCAGCATGTTAACCCACACGGACAGTGGATTTAAGATATCTGAAGAAAATGTGAGTCACCTTATGTATATGGATGATATCAAACTGATATCCAACACACAAAATGGTCTAAATAAACTTATAAGAACAACTGAAGAATTTTCCAATGATATAAGAATGAACTTTGGCCTAGAAAAATGTAAAACAAACCATATGAAAAGAGGAAAATGGTGTCAGTCAGATGACTTCATCCTTCTAGAAGAATCAGGAGGAGGAACTGTGAGATCTATGGATAAACATGAAACATACAAATATCTAGGGTTTATACAGTCACAGGGAATTAATGGCAGTGAAATGAAAAATCAAATAAAGAACACATTCAAGACCCGATTAAATGCTGTCATGAAGACCCAGCTCTGCGGAAGCAATAAAGTCCAAGCTACAAATACATTTGTAATGCCAACGATAACATATAGCTTTGGAATCATTAAATGGACCCCTACAGAACTGGACGAACTAAACAGGTCTGTTAGAACAACGTATACAAAATATCGATCCCATCATCCAAAAGCATGTAAAGAACGTTTCCATCTTCCAAGAGATATAGGGGGGCGAGGCGTCATGGATCTGCGACTACAATATAAAAAACAAATTAAAAACCAACGAACGTACTTCCACATGATAGCATCAACATCAAGCCTCTATGATACCATAAGCAAAACAGATAAAAAGTTGACGCCTCTGAATCTTAGTGATAAAGAAATGAATATAGATGCTGGTTACACAATAGCCCTGCAAAAAAGCAAGTGGCAAGGAAAAGAGCTACATGGCCGATACCTCAACACACTTGATCTGGACAGCATTCATAAGCCAGCTTCAGTAGCATGGCTAACACACGGAACGATTTTCCCAGAGACAGAGGGATTTATGTGCGCAATTGAAGACGAAGTAATAGCCACAAGATCATACCTAAAATATATAATAAAGGACCCCACAATTAAAACAACTGTATGCCGAATGTGCGGAGAAGGAAACGAGAATATAGAACACATTATTAGTAGTTGTACAACGCTAGCTTGAAGAGAGTATGCCGACAGACATAACAATGTAGCAAAAATAATACATACAGAACTTAGTTTGAAGTAAAAATGCATTAACGAGCGCATTCCATATTATAATTATGTCCCAATGAGCGTCCTAGAGAATGATGCTTGTAAATTATATTGGGATAGAGAAATATTAACAGATCGGACTGTGCAACATAACAGACCAGACATATGTCTGCTGGACAAACTCAAAAAAGAAATCTATCTTATTGATATCGCTGTCCCTGCCCCTACAAATGTCAACCGAAAACATCAAGAAAAGATCGACAAATATACCTTACTAGCACAGGATATGAAAGAGGTCTGGGGAGTGGATAGGGTGTCAGTGGTGCCTATAGTGATTGGATCAACTGGAGAAATCCCCAAGCAGCTCCTTCACAATCTGAAAAAACTGGAACTTAACCAAAATCTTTACATACAACTTCAGAAGTCAGTTATTCTCGCAACATGCAACATAATGAGAAAAGTATTAAACTTGAGAAGATAGCTAAAAACTATTGTCTTGCCCCTTGGGGCCGACAATAGATTTACTTACCCTGTAACGTGACAAAAAAAAGGACTTTATTTGTACAACTGTGCCATATACAATAATAGAACAAAGAGACAAAGAGAAAAAAAGTAGTGTACAAAAAGGCGAGGTTCAGTTGAGCAGATTAGATATCTGCCCTCTGTTCAACTAACCCACAGAGAAGAAAATATTTGTTAACAATAATAAAAATTAATGAAACTAAATCTTAAGTAAATCTACAAATATGTAACCTTAAAATTGCATAAACAGTATAAAAATAAATTTATTTACGGCATGAAATATAATAAAATTTATATAGAAGAGAAATATATTAACAAAAATACAAAATAATACAAGCAAACTTAACATTGAACATGCTCATTATAATTATAATCCGTTTATTTATGCTGTCCCACCATGTGCTGAAGAACAATTCTCTTAAATGTAGCCCTAGACATCCTGTTAATATTTTCGGAGAAATCGTTTAAATATTTTGCGATTAAATATGAAAAGGATCGTTCATACAAAGTAGTATTGTGACTAGGAATTGTTAGCTTTCCCTTAAATCTAATGTATATATATATTATTATTATTCATAATAATATTATGAATGTCTGTGCGAAACCGAATTTTCTCGTAAAGAACTTGTTTATTAAAATTTTGTAGAACAGACAAAGCAGATGAAGGTGGCACCGCTCGTTCATCAATAACCATCCTGAATGCTTATATGCTTGACTAATATGGTCATATTTCCGGATCCCAAAAATTAGACGTATACAAGAATTCAGCAATTTTTGAATGCTATTAGCAATTCGCTTTGTAATGCAAGGTCCATAGAGAACATCGCAAAAATTTAAATGTGACAATACCAGTGCCTCGCATAACATTGTTTTTATATTTCTATTTAATACATGACGATGTTGAAAGAGAAGTTTCAAATTTAAATAAGCTTTCTGAAGGCATGCATTTATATGCTCTTGAAATCTGGCGAATGTTACTGTTCGTTTCCATTCGTGCCCATTCAAGAGAAGTCTTACTCAATCAGTAAATCAAAGGAAAATTCCAGCCGCGGATGACTGGAAACGTTGCTTAGTGAACTTATTGATACATCATTTGCGTTGCTGAATTGAACACGTAAACTTCTACGAATGAATGGCTATATGTGCCAAATGTATTCTCAGCTTTAATACAAAAAAAAATAATATATATCTCAGTCCAAAAAATATAACAAATTATCTCAATAATAAAATAACATAATAATCAGTTAGGCAGGCTTCGGAAATTGATATCCAGCACATTATTTCCATTGTACGTTAAAACATCGAAAGATCTGGCATTTAATTCTTTATCTTTATAAACAAAGTACATCAGAGCATCGCCAATATTTCCTGCCAGTACTTTTCCAATGGCAATATCGCCTTGATAATTAACCCTGCCAATATAGAGCCATTTTCCGTCCTCGACGCCTCCGCGAATGAAGTGGAGACTGTTGGTCAGGAGATGCAGATCGGTTGAATTCGTTCGAGTCCACGTGAAGTATTCCGGGCGTTGACTGCATAGAATCTAGAAGCAAATACATTAGCATTACTATCTCAAAGATCTTCTGCAAAGATTTATACAACTGACTTAAAAAAATGCCCTAAATATTGAGGCGCTCACCAGCACGAAAAACCGGCACCTTAAAATTTTGATGTAGGTACTTTAAAGTTTAATATATTTTGTCCTAGTGGGCCGATTTTGATGCTAAATTATTTGACTTTTTAGCATCTCTTTCTAAATTAAAAATGAAAGTTGCCGTCTGTTAATTTTACGAGGGAAAACAAAATGTTGAAATTTTGGTGAAAGCTTGAAACACCTTGTGGTATTAGTCCACAAAGCTAGGAATTTAAAAATCATTTTACCATCTAGGTACATCTTTTCACGATAGTTTGCTTATGGACTCATCTCAATAACTTTATTTTTATTGGAGATATTCTATAATAGATATTTTGAATAAGACAGTAATCATTTACATCTATTGAGCACTGATTTTGGGCCCTCATCAACACATTTTATAAAACTGTGTTTATTGTTTTTGTAATGTCACTGTCATTGAAAAGTATTATTATTGTTTATTGACGTTTACTCAAGTAGAGATGGTTTTAAGTTCGGAACTATCGGCTATTTTTGCTTTAATTGATCACGGAAAAGATCAACTTTTGAACTTAAAACCATATCTGCTAGATTAATTGTCCAGCAGACAAAAATATGATTTTTCAAAGACAGTGAGTTTACATAAACCGTAAACCCTATTTTATAGTTCTTTTGTAGATGAATGTCTGTTGAATGACTAGCACCAAAAGCAAACGCATGGTTTTAGTGTAAAAATTACGAAAATATGTTAGCTTCTTCTTCAAAAGCGAATATCTCCAAAAACATAAAGCTATTGAGATGAACCAAAAAACAAGCTATCGGCAAAATATACACGTAGATGATAAAATGATTTTTAAATTCCTTGCTTTTAAGGTCCGACGGAGATCTCGGCCTCGGTCTCGGTTACAGTCATTCTTTGTTAAAAATCAGGCCGAGATCTCGGTCTCGTTCTCGGCATAAAAACGCGGAGATTTCTTTTGACTGCTCTTGTCTCTGCTCTTGGCTCTGATTGACTGCTTACTGCTCACAATCGTCCAATTAGCTTATTTTTGAGCGTATAGCTCCACCTATCAATGCGTGGATGAATGAAATACTCGTCCGAATGGATCATATCTGATTCATAAACGATTAGATTTTTACAAATTTAAGTTTTGGGTTCGTTGAAGGACTTTAGAGCTACAATTTTAAAAATATTTTTACAAGACACAGAGTGTCCCAAATAAGTAAAAAATATTTAAGTTATATTTTTTTAAATGGAACACCCTGTATATTATTCGAATATTAGATTCTACTATTAAAATAAAAGTAAATTTGATTAAGGTTTATCGCAGTTAAGCCTTACCGTTTTTGAAATATTTTCAATTTTATGAAATTGCAGTAAAAATTTTAAGGCTTCAAATCTCCAAGAAAGAGATAGACCTTCCGAAACGTTAAGAATGTTTTCTTTTTTAGGCAAATTTGTATAACTGTACACATAACTTCTCACAAGTAGTATTTTCTTGCAGTGCAGTGGCGAAATACCCATAAAGGATTTTTGAGAGACTATACTCGTATACCGTGCTGGCAACTGTTACTTTCGGGTCGGCATTTACATGTGTGGAAGTAAATCGCATGGGGATCTTATTAAGTCGGAGTGAGAGAAATGCGACCGACAGACGCGACGCGCGACTTGTGCTGTGGCGGCGTTGCCGATACGCCTTTCCCTATCAAGTAAACTAAATTCACGATCGCAAACCGCTTATTTTTAAAAGACTTTTTTTTCAAGAGAAAACTAGAAAAAATCATTAGGTTTGTAATGTTTGTGAGCATCTGAAATGGAATTATAAGGATATCGTTAGGGTGTCATTTTTTTATAACGAGAAAACGTCAGTAATCGCGATAATTTAAAAACTCAACTTTTTAACACATAACAGACCATAACTCAAGAACTACTTTAGATATTGAAACTTTTTTTTATTTTCAAGATCGGATATTTTACAATATGTTTACATAAAAAAAATTCGATAAGCTTGTTTTTTCCATTCAAAAATTGTAAACAATCCATCCATTTACTTTTAGAGCATAGCAATTTTCAGCAATCGTGTAATTTTTTTATTGATAAAGATTTTCACATACTGTCTACAAAGAAAATACAGCAGAAATATTAACAAAGTTCTTGAAAAAAACTGCAATCTATTATTTCTAATAGATTTCGAGATATCGATTTTTGAATTCAGAGTTCTAATAGCGCGACCACTATCGAACACCCACTCAATTCCACTTATTTTTACCAAAAATGCAAGTGTTTCTAGCTTGCACTTAAAAAAATTCAAGCTATAGGGAAAATTGCAACGACTCGTTAATTACTTTACTTTATTTTTTCATATCCGGATTATATTGTTACGGATTCCGTGGGTCCACTATTTAAACTCACGATAAAATACTTAACGAATTTATTTGTTTCACTCTGTACACACAACTTATACTATTTACAACACAACTTATGCAACTACTATTACTCTAACGGTATTTCGCGGTATTATCAAACTTCAGACTATCTTCAGACTTGTCCAACTGTCAAAGCGCGGGCCTTATATACCCCCTGGCGATTGTTTCTAGATTTTTCTAAAGAATTCTATAATTTTCTTTTACTTTCTGGCGAATGCGCCAGGTTCCTCAATGCACGTTGCGATTATTTAGCAGTATGCAGTTATGCAACCAGTAATACACCTTGACAATATTATAGTTTATTAACCCAGTAATGGGCTACATCCAATGCTTCCCGTTTAGCCAGCCATAGGTCATCGAGGGTACATCTGTGAGGGCACGCGGGACATTGAAGAAGATGTTCCATGTCCTGAAAGGCAGTCGCATTTGTCGTCATTTCTGTCCAGCAAACCCCATTTAATCAAATTGGATTTTACTGGGGCCACCCCAGTTCTGATTCGGTTGAGCATTCTCCAGATTTTCCAGTCGCTAGAAACACCATTTGATGGGTCTCCTCTAAGTGGGTAATGGGAGGGAGGTTTATCCAGGGGGTGGCTTAGAAAACGGCGTCTGGATTTAAGTCTACCTGTGCCGCACTCTTGGCCAAAAATTGAGTGACGAGCATCAAAGGTTTGTTTTAACTTCTCAGTATGTTCATGAGTTTTTCTGCGTAAATCGGGGCTTGTAAAACCTGCGGCCTTATAAAGGTTTTCTAAGGGGGCGGGTTTCATACAACCTGTCACTATTTTGCATGTTTCATTCAGACTGATGTTCAACTTTTTTGGGCAGGCATATTCTGCAGTTGAAAAACACAGAGTTTGAGCAGAAGTTCTGACCATGATAGGTTTGGCTCCCCATTTATTATTGGTCAGCTTCCTTATAAGGGAATTTCGTGCTTCGACTTTTTTGTGTGTTTTTTCGCAGTGATATTTGTAAGTCAATGTTCTGTCCAGCACGACGCCAAGATAGGTAGGCTTATCTGTGTGTTCTAGTAGTGTCCCGTCCCATGTAACATTAAGTCTGCGGGTCGCCTGTCTCGAATTAAGGTGGAATGCACTCACTTTAGTTTTGGTGGGGTTGGGTTTAAAAGATTTCATTTTGTAATAGGTTGACATTGTTTTTAGGGCGCTTTCTAGTTTCTCCTCGATATCTTCGAACCCTTTGCCTTCAACTGTTATTGCTAGGTCATCTGCATATGCAAAGGTTCTAGTGTTATCTGGAATAGGTTGGTCATTTGTATATATGTTGAAAAGAATTGGTACCAGCACGCTCCCTTGTGCCAACCCATTCTTCTGGTTTCGCCATCGACTCTTTTTGCCCTCGAGCGTCACGAAAAACTGCGTTTTAGAGCAAGGATTCGAGTATCTTGACTAGGTGGTAATCTTTCAAGGTCTCATTGGCTTTATGCAGTAATATCTTGTGGTTTACCGTGTCATAGGCGGAACTTAGGCCGACTAGGGCCAGCCCTGTGATGTGTTTATTCTCAAAACCCTCCTCGATATGTTCTGTCAATGCGAGGATTTGACTGGTGCTTTCCAGGTCTGAATCCTGCCTGTTGTGGAATCAGCTTTGAATCGACGGTCTTCTCTATTCTGTAGAGGATTAGTCTTTCGTAGAGCTTAAACAGATGGCAAAGGAGGGATATGGGTCGGTAGCTTTTCGGAGACTCTGGATTTTTCCGGGTTTAAGGAGAGCTTTTGACTTCCGCCACAGTTTTGGAATTTGAAAGGTTTCGCGACATACGTTGAAAAGTTTAAGTATCCATTCTTTGGTTCCAGGACCGACATTTTTGATCTGTTCCACGCACATATCGTCATTCCCAGCGGCTTTTCCATTCTTCATGGTATTTATACCATTGTTCAACTCTTTCATGGTAAATGATTTCTGAAAGTTGGTGTTTTCAGTTGGTATTAGGCGTTTGATTTTGGTTTTCTGGCATTTGGAGTTGAATTTGCCATTTAGAAGGAGTTGGTTGGCCACTTGATTGGGTGTTACATTGGCAGGGGCCTTGCTTAGTTTTGGGTCACCATCCAGTTTCTTGATTAGATTCCAAGCTATTTTACTACTATGAGACATGTCCATTCTATCCAGGGTTTGAGACATGTCCATTCTATCCATTTCTTCTCACGTGCCTCGCTGAGAGCTGTCATTAAAGCTGTTCCGCAGGTGATGGTTTGATCGCTGAATGGATCTTCCGCAAACAATTGTTTGTACCGCTCCAGGGTGTCCTTTGAGGCATTCGAGAGCCCTGGAATGTAATATTGTCTGCAGCCCCTAGGAATATATCATCTGGATATCTTTCGCAGGGACTCAACAAAGATGTGGTAGTTGCTTGGTGTTGGGGCCAAATTGGCTATTTCCTCATCCAGCACTTGGGAGTATTCTGGCCACCTGGCTTTTTTAAAGTTGAATCTCCTACGAAAAGGTATTTTGGTTATTTTGATTGTAAAGTAGACTTGGATTCC